CAGCAGACAAAGTCGTTGGTTTTTGTTTGTTTCTACTATAAAGTGACCCTTTCTTAAGTTACAGGGACATCTACACAATGGTGACTTTCCTTTATCTCACTTTTGGTTGACCCAAATGCAGTTTCAGAGTTACCCTCTCAGGAACAAGTCAAGGAAATGGGAGTTTCCACTTCCATTAACAGCTTTTAGAAAATAGCAACATGGATGTTTTTGATGTCTTGTGCCAAGCAAAGCAGGTGTTCTTGGCTATTTTTCTTTTTTAGTGTCCCTAGAAATATGTTGTGGCTTTGGTCTCTCAGCAATAGGACAGAGTGAAGCCCACTCTACTCAATACTAGAAAAAGGCTTAAGAAGTGCTCCCAGCACAGATCTAATATTAAAGTGTTCAGAGCTTCAATAAGGAAGAGTTTGAGGACTCCAGTTAGTCCTTGAGGAGCATCTTTTCTCCTACATGCTTTTCATACACTCATTTTGATACCTCACTGTTCCAAAATAGACTTGAGGTGACTGTAAGGTTCACCTTTTCATGTGATTTAGATTTTGACTAATCTGTACCACACTTTCAATTTTAAACAGAAATTAGGAAAGAAGACTTTTTTTGTGTGGTTTCTCTACTAAGTATAATTTAAAAAGAGGAGCTGTTTTTTTCTTTTCTAGTGCCTCCAGAAATGAGCTGGGGCTTGGGTCTCTCGGCAATCAGGGATGCATAATTTAGATGTCTCCAAATGCCCCAATGTCCAGCTGTCAGGCCTGAAGACTAACAAAATTCCTAATAAAATGACTATATTTGGTTCATTTTGTCAGGACATAAATGCACTTAATGTTTGCCCTTATCTCTCGTAAAGTTATGCTCACTAAAAGACAAGACTGATTGGCTCTCACATCACTTAATACCTATTAATATTTAGTCTCAATAAATATTTCCTGTGCAAAGCCAGCATTATTTCACAGTTGTCTCAAGAAGGAGCAAGAAATCTGATATATTGCTATAAAAATAGGAATAATATACAGAAAACTTAGAAATACATAAAAAAAGATAGTATTTCCACATGTTACCTCCCTCATTTTTCTAGACTTCTAGAAAATGCTTAATGAACTGGTGTGGTTACCTAGTCTCTGATAAATCTGCAATCTTCATATAGAGTCAAAGATATCATCAGTAAGATTAAATTTAAAAGATCAGAGAGCATCTCATTTTCTTCAAATGTGGGAACATGATAAAACTATTCCCAGCTCCTGGCTTCCCATTCCTTTAGTTATCTATCAAAATAAACTGAGGAAAGTTTAGGCAATTCTCTGCAATAAGGAGATGCAAAGTGGCAAAAAAAACCCCTTTGAGAATAAGGCAAAAACATTTGCTTTTAACTTATGCCTTTGGAACAGTTCCAATTTTTAAGGCAAAGAGGATAACTGGTCCAAATGTAAATCATTTCAGTCAATTCAGATTAGATGAGACCATCAGATTTTAAATAAAACTCCTTAGAGATGCAGAGGGAAACAATGGGCATATTCTGGAGGATGTGAATGTATATTATACATCAAGCTGGTTTTAAATTTACTTAGCATTTTGCATTTTTTCTAAGATAAAAATAATAAGTGATAACAACAGATAAAATTTCCTGAATCCTCACATCTACTGTTCCAGGCATGGGACATGTTGTACCTTATATAAACCTCACAACCCTGTGAGATTGATTATGTACTATTATTCTTCTAATTTGACAGGTGACAAAACAGGTAAAGATGTTACATAACCTAAAGTAGCTTATGCCATAGAGTTAGCTAGATGTGGAGCATGGATTGGAACTCAGGGCTGACCCTAAAGCCCATGCTAGCAAGCACTATTAAGTTTGGGCTCCTTAACTTTCTAAAGAATTGGTAGATTTTAACCAAAGGGTAACAGGATACACCATATATTTGTGCTGTATTTGCTTTAGTGTGATATAACTCACCAAGCTGAAAAAGAATGGCAGCTATTAAGTTTTCTAAAAGGTCTTATCACACTCTTAGCCTAAAAGGTCTTAGCCTGCCTAGAGATTCGTGGTAGATATTTGTTTGGGGGAAGACTTCTCCTAATTCTTTTAAAAGAACATAAATTCACTGTTTCACTATGCCTTAAGTCCCATCCCTGATCATAAGCTTCGTAAGGCTAATACATTTTTCATTTTCACATCTTCCACTAACTCTCTGAGCGTAGTCTTGTTAGTAAATGTAGAGCTGTGGCATGCATAAAATCTATCCATGAAAGAACTCCCAGCTTACAGTGAAGCTTTTTATTTGTTTTATACATATGAATATTACAGAAAATATCCGACTCAACAATTTACTCTGCTTCTGAAAATTACAAAAAGCCTAACTTTCACTGCTGTTCTTGACATGGGATTCTTGGATTATCACCTAATAAGGCTCTTTTTGTCCCAGTATGTTTGCTGAAGAACCACCTATCTGGAGAACAATCTTTCCATTAAAAAAAAAAATTGTTCCAACAGTCTTAAGAGTTCTAAATCCAGAAAGTTTAAACAATTTGTCGAAGGCTCAAGAGCTTGTTGATGACAAAGTCCAGATGACAGGTCTGATTCCTCTCTGCCTTGATTCCACCTACTGCCCTGAATGATAGAGTAACTCTTATTTCAATATTCCTGTAACTGTTTAGGTAGTAAAATCTATTGATTCAGAACTCATTTCTGATATAAAAGTTCAAGTTAATCTCATTAGAATAAGAAGACACAGCTTCTGAATGTTCATGTAAGAAGTGCAGGATTAAGACAGTAAGCACCACAGCTCACTGAAATAGGCAAATGATTCATATCTAAAGCTTTGTGGCTATAATGACTTCCTTGCACTACATGGATCAGAAAGGGTACTTATCCATACCACTGACCTGACCAGAGACCTCTAGAAGCTGGCATCTTAACGTCAGACATTACATTTCTACAGCTGCAACAATGCATCTCAACTTATCTAGATGACTAAAGTAAGTAAAAAATCAATTTAATGACGAATTAAACAAGAATTACAATGAGGATAGTTTGACTAGTAACTTAATTACTTCAAGTTGTTTCACTAAGCATTTAATATCTTCACAGTCATGCCCATAATATTAGGCACTGAACAAATAGTTAAGATTCTGACCTTAGTAACTGGGGTAGAATTTATTCTTAAACTAATTTCCTTTCCAAGTGGTCTTTCTCCCAAGATCTAACTCTACCAGGACACCTAAAGGGAGCCACTTTGAAACAAATTAATGGAATATATTTACAAACAGAATTAGTGCTATCTTTACCTTTAAACATCATTTACAGGGGAACAGGGAGTGACTGTTACAGGGTGTGAGGATTCTTCTTGGAGTGATGAAAATGTCCTGGGATTGTAGTAATGTACATTCTAAAAGGGCAAATTATATTTCAACAATGCTGTAAGTTAAAAAAAGCCAACAGAAAATCGAAACCAAAAAAATTCTGGTTTCACATATGGCCTGACAGTGAGCTACTGCTAAAGGATTCATACCAGTAATCCTTACTAGAATCTGACATACCTAACTAGGTAAAGCAATAAAAGTTTGGTATCTCAAGAGTCTCATCCATTATTCTACTAAAGTATCATTTTCTTATTTATTTGTTCTCTGCATCAGATGATAAGCTCACCTCAAATTCTTTAATATCCAAAACAAATGCTAAAATTAATTACATAGTGACCAGAAATGAAATGTAACTTGAACAAATTGATATTATTTTGAATTTTCAGCTGAAATGCTTTACCAGTAGCATTAGTAAAAGGAAGAATTTAAAATTAATGATTTCTAATAAAACTTTTATGCAGCTTGTTTCCTTTGTTCTAACTTTTCTACTTAAAGGAATCATCAGAAACTTTTCACATAACAGTCACAAAAGGATAAATGCAACCATTTCAGATCCTTGTTGAAATATCACTCTGTGTGTGTGTGTGTGTGTGTGTGTGTAGATCCTTGTTGAAATATCACTGTGTGTGTGTGTGTGCGCGCGCGCGCAGGGGGAGTAATACACATACACATGTAGACACATTTTAGACAAGGTTTTTAGAATAGTGAATGGTTTAAAAGTGATAAAAACATGATTGATACTGAAGTAATTCAAAAGCCACTACTGCCATGACGGATAACATATATGAACTGATTATTTAGCCATTTGAAAGTGACATTTTGAATAAGGTTTCCAAACCTTCACGGAGAACATTAAATGTTTTTTTTTTTTTTTTTTTTTTTTTTTTAAGATTTGATTTTAAATACTATTAATTGTAAAGAGCTTTTCACCAACCTGACTTTTATTAAACACTTACTAGTATTTCAGGCTAGGGGCTGGAGACACAGATGCAAGACAGGCACGTCCTTAAAGAAGTCTCACATTGGCTGCTTCTTTTTGTCAGGCACAGAACTAAAACATGTTCACTTACAGCATCTGACCCCCTAGGTTTAACGCATGGCAGGAAAATCTGAGGCAAACAGTACAAAAGACTGTAAGACTATAAGGCTGTAAGACTGAAAGATTAAATTTGGAAATAAATAAAAGCTGTTGCATATTTAGACTAAATCTAACTCTACTTTCTAATATAATATTACACTAGAAGTTGCAGATCTACTACTAAAAGATACTAAAATGACCAGAATAAAACTGTATCTTCTTTAACACATATCCCTTATACAGAGTAGGGGAAAAGCAGGTTTATAGTTGTTCATATGGAAAATAATACAATTTAATTATTAATAATACAAGAATAAACTCTATGGTTTGCCTACTCACAACTGTACACCTACTTTTGCCCTACCCAGTATAACCACTTTATTTAAAAGTACATCTGTTGTGTTAATGTGACCCAGCTTTTTTATCCATTTACTTGGTCACTTGGGCTGCTTTCAAATTATGGTTAGTTGTCAGTAATAATCCAATGAACACCGGGGTACATCTTGTATATTCCTTCAAATTGCAATAGGATATTACTTGGCCATAAAAAAGAAGGAACTCTTACCTCTTGTGACAGCATGGATGGACCTGGAAAGCATCATGCTAGGTGAGATAAGCCAGTCAGAGAAAGACAAGTGCCATATGATTTCACTTATACATGGGATCTAATGAACAAAATAAACTAACAAGCAAAACAAATAAACTCATAGATACAGAGAAAAGGCTGACATCTGTCAGATGCATGCGGGGGTTGGAGAGTTGGGTGCAAAAGGTTAAGAATTAAGCAAAAAAAAAAAACCAAAAAACAAAAACAAAAAACCCTCACTGACACAGACAAGAGTACAGTGATTACCAAAGAGAAATGGGGTGTGAGGAGGTAGAAGAGGATAAGGGGGGAGATAAACAATGATGGAAGGAGACTTGACTTGGGGCAAGAGGAAGAAATACTGGTGAAATATTATAGAATTGTACACCTGAAACCTACATAATTTTATTAACCAATATCCTGCTAATAAATTCAATTTAAAAATAAGTACATCTATTACATTTTAAAGCATCATCTCCCATTAAAGGATATTTCTTTTCACCCTGAAATTCTTGTGAAGCCTGAAGAAAAAAAAAAGACACCTACTAAGAAAGTCTCCTGGTGACTAACGGCTCAAATTTTAAAAAAGCAGATTAGCAGTCATTTCTGCACAGGAGCCTCTCAAGCAAACTACGCGTTGTGGGAAGGCTGCCTCTCTGCACTTAACTACTTACCTTTGCACTACTGTCTGCCTGCACTGTACTTCTGCCATCTAACCCAGCCCTTAAGATGGAGTTCCTGGAATCCTATTCTAACAAATAGTACTGATACTTTCCCCATCCAATCAGAGCTGCACAGCTCTAATCAATCAGAGCAGCTTATTTTGACCAATCAGGGCAGTTCCTTTTGGGCCAATCAAACCATTATGGTTCTGAGCCCTCATTTGCATGAGGATGGACCAAACAGGGACCAGAGAAGGAAACTTCTGTCCTTATAAGCCGGCTTCCCAATGGCTCAAGGTCAGGCCTTAAGACTGTGTCTCCCTACATGAAGTGACACACCGAATGGGGAGCCCTGCGGACCATCAGGAAAGGGGACTGGCCCCAGACATATTCTAGAGCTGTGCTTTTTTCACAATCCGCTACAACACTATTGAGCTGCTTGCACTGAATCAAGTTTCCTTCCTCACTGCTTCTCAAACTGGGGATTACTGTTGGCATTTGAATTGGCATCAGCAACCATGGTTGAGAATCTCCATCAGGATATATTACTGAACAGTGGCTCAATGAATGAATGAATGAATGAATGAAACAAACAAACAAATATGTTCTAATTGCCAAGAAGGTACTTGTTTAAACATAAGGTACTGACAGACCAAAGTTCTACTGGAAAAATCACCGAATTTCAGAGATAAAAATAGTAACAACTGGACACTGTTATTAAGCACTCAGCATGTCACTAAGTTCACAGTAAACATCTGATGAGGAACTTTCAGAAATTAAAATGAAAAGTGTTAATCAAAATACTTTAAAATGGAGTTGGATCTACCACGTATGGATTGGGAACACAAGTACAACACAAAGCGATTGGTGGCTAGGTGGGAAGGAGGGAGGGAGGGAGGGAGGGAGGGGAGGGTGGGGTGAAAAAGTTAAAAGGTCACCAGCAAGTGACCCTCAAGAGAAATGCGCGCTGACCACCGAAACTGCCGGAGCTTGATGATGAACAATTCCCGCCCGAGCCAAGGGCGCTGGCTCTCCCTCGCAGCCCAGAACTGAAGGCCACCCTGGCCTTATTCGGCGCCTCGCTCGCCCAGAACGTTAGCACAAAGAAACCACCGAAAAACAAAACACGATCCCCGTGGAAGGTGGGCAGGCATAGGGACCAGGAGACCCGAGCGCTCCTCGCGGGTGCCCACCGTAGCGTTGTAGCCTGGGCGCTGCAGGCCACCCAGGCGCCTCAGTCCCTACCTTTGCCAAAGTGTTTCAGAACTTGCCACCCACCTTTCCTCGCCCCCCCTCACCGCTCCATTTCCCGCTATCGACGTGGACGTGGGACCCGCGCGAGGACGGGCGGGAGGAGCTGTGGCAGCAGACTACGAGCGAATGGCCGGGGCGTGCAGGGGTCCCGCAGCCCCAGGGCGGCCCCGGCCTCCTGGCCCGCTATTGTTCCCGCGCCGCCCCCGCCCGCCGCGCGCCCCCCGAGCGCTCCCGCCCCCACTCCCTGGAGGGGGGGGTCACGGCGGAGAAGGCGGCGGCAGAGGCGGCGGCACAATAACATAAACACGGCGGGGCCGTCGGCCGACCGGTCCTGCGGCATCCTTGGCACTCACCCAGCAGCACAGCGAACGGCGACAAGAAAGCCTGCTGGGGGGGACCGGTGCTGTCCGGTACGTCGCCGCAGCCGTTACCCAACGCACCTCACTGCTTTGCTTTTCGGACCGCGTCGTCCGGCCTCGGCCGCTCCGCTGAGTAACAGGGACGCGAGCCGTCACTGCGCACGCCCGGTTACGTCATCGCGCAGGGCACCGCCTCTGCGCCTCCTGAACCCCGGGGCCCGGATTGCGGGGGCGGGGCCCGCAGTCTGGGGGCGGAGCTACTCAGGAGCCGGGAGGACTTGCGGAGGTCGCCTGGAGGAGGAGCCGTGGGAGAGCTTGAGTGTGCGTCGTTTGGGGGCGTGGCGGATAGTGGCGGGGGCGGGGGCGGGGCCCCGCTCCTGGCACGTGGCGGCGCGTGGCCGTGCGTCTCCGCAACTTCCCCGGGGCTGTCTGTTGGTCTGAGCCAAAGGTTCAGGTTCTTTTCGCCCCAAGCTTTGGAGGTAAGGTGTGATGAAGCCGAAGTCTCCTCAGGAGCCAGGCACACACTTAAGGAAGAGCTCGTTACTTTGACCGACAATATGTTACATTCTGAGAACACCTGTCCTGGGCCCAGCAACCCACAAGCAAATGAGTTCTCTTCAGACACCTGATAAAGCTGCTTCCTGGTTTCCCAAAGTCCGCCCCCTATAAGAGTCTGTGCATTACGTATTTATCTCTGGGCCCTCAAAAAGCGTATGTGTTAGTTACAGAAATGATAAATGGTAAATAAAATCTTAAAAAAAAAACAAACAAAAAACAACCCTGGATGGTGTTGGATTGAGTGCGGGCCTGCAAATCAGAGGGTTGCCCTTTGATTCCCTGTCAAGGTACATGCCTGGGTTGCGGGCCAGGTCTCCAGTAGGCAACCATACATTGATGTTTTTCTCCCTCTCTTTCTCTCTCCCTTCCCCTGTGTCTAAAAATAAAGAAATCTTTTAAAAAAGACAAATTCGCTAGCCCTTAAATAGCCAACAATGAGTGGGAAGGTGTTTAAATTACATACATCTATGCAATAGTATGCATTTTAGCAATGTAAATGCGATGTATTCAAGGAATTCTAAACGCAAGAAAGTGTTCCTAATATATTAAAAGAAGCATGTTTATATATAAAAAATGATCCCACTTATATGCTCTCTCTCTCTCTCTCTCTCTCTCTCTCTCTATATATATATATATATACAGAAAAAACCTGAGAAGAAATATGCCAAATTATATTAACACATCATCATTGGACTGTAGAATAAAAGGTGAATTGGTTCTTCCTACAATACTTTGAATATTTTTTTCACAGTTTCCAAATGGAACAGTTAGTTTCATAATCAGAAAAAGTATGTTACTTTAATAATGAATGAATGAGTAATAAACAAATATTTGTTGAATAAATGGGTGAATTCCAGGGGTGTCTAACATTCTGGTGTCTCTGGGCCACACTGGAAGGGGTTGTCTTGGGCCACACTTGAAATACATTGCAACACATAGTCACAAAAAAATTTCGTGATGTTTTAAGTAAATTTACGATTTTGTGTTGGGCTACATTCATAGCCATCCTGGGTCACATGCGGCCCTGGGCTATGGGTTGGACACCCCTGAATAGGCTATCTTCCCATGTCATGTTGAGATGGCCTGTTTCCAGTGATTCTGAAGTGGAGTATAGATGTGAGCATTTGTTCATTTATTCTCTCCCCATTCCTTTGCTCCCTCTCAGGCTTCTTTATTTTTTTTCTTTACTTCTCCAGTAATTATCTCTAGCTTGATTCTGTGCCAGGCACTGTGCTAGCACTAGCAACACAATGGAGCTTATAGACTTAACCATTGTGATATGGAAACAATAAGAGTAACAAATGCGAAGTGATCAGTGAATATAATATTGATAGAACTTGATATGGATACATATAGTATTATGAAACCAATTGATAGAATTAATAAAGCTAGGAAATTGATAATTAAGGAACTGCCTCTTGAGCTGAGAATAGATTTAACTAGATAGAAAATATTTCAAACAGTGGTAACTTGGTGTGCAAGGGACCTGTGTAAAAAGGGAATTGAGTTAGTTGGAAAAATTCAGGAAAGGCCAGTGCTGCTGGAAGAACAAGGAAGAAGGAGCTATTAAATAAAGTTGGGGAAAATGGAAAAGAACCAAACTTGATGCAGCCATCTACCCATGTTAAACATCTTGTCTTTATCCTAAGTGCAGTGGGAAGCCCATGACATGCTTATGCAAAGGAGCTGTCATGGTCAGAATGGCATCTTAAGTAGTCTGAATGGCAGAGGTAGAGGCTTGGTATAGGGTGATGGTCACGGAAACAGAAAGAAGGTTCTGAGGACAATTTAGGAGATTCGGTGCACAGAAGGTGGTGATGGATTAGGTGGACAGTGAAGGAGAGATAATCATCAAAAAAAAAAAAAAGCCATAGGTTTCCTGCTTGTGGGCAAAGAATGGATGTTGGTGCTCGTTCACTGAAATGGAAAGAGGACAGGTATTGAGTGAAAAAACCATGAAAGCAGGTAGTTTGAAGGCTTTTCATCTACCCAAAAGAGATGTTAAGTAGTTGGGTATACAGGGCTGAGCTCAGGTAGATAAGAGATTAATAATAGACAGATAGTCATGACTTGAAGCCTTGGGTAAGGATGAGTTAGCCTAGACCTGACTCATCCTTACCGAAGGCTAACTCCTGAGGGAGAGAGGGTAGTGAACAAGAAGAGAGGAAGGCCGGGGCAAATCTTGAGGAACTTCAGCATTGAATGGCCATGGAGAGGATAAGCCTGCAAAGGAGCTGCCAGGGAGGTAGAAGGAAAGAGGAAAACAAGAAGACAAGAGTGATCAATAATATCAAATATAAGAGGAGATTTGAAATCCTGGAGTACTTAGAACCAGAAGTGGACTAGAGTGATATAACCTCTTCTTGATCATCCCTCTGTGCTCCAGCAGAAATTGGGTTTAAGGACCTTGCACCATCCCCTTCTCTCCTTTCTGCTGGAGCCCTGAGGGATGGTAAGGAAGAGGTTGCACCCTGCCCAGAGCACCTATTCCCTTGCCATTCTTCCCAGACTCCCCCCACACCCACACTTATGGAGTTGAGCCTTTGGCAAAGTTGCCAGGTGGGTCTTAGAGCTAGCTTTTCAAGGGTGCAGAAAATAAAAGTTGAAACTTTATCTCACTTCCTGGTTTCCTGACCTCACTCCAGGAGTGGGGAGGAGAGGGAACTTACTGACTAATGCCTGCAGCAAGTCATCTCCAAGGATGTATTCTCTCTTTCCCACTCCACCACACTCCTTCTCCTTCAGCCTCGCTTTCAAGCCAACCCATCCATCTTCCCAACCATGCCCTTGAATCAAATTTAATTCTCCCTCCACAGGAGAAACAGGTTTAGCTCCTCATCAGTCACCCTCTGACTCTGGGATGCTCTGGGGTTTTTCAAGATAGAGCCTGCTGTCTCCAGAGTCTCTGGTTGCATAATCAGAGAAGAAATGACTGCTCATATTGCAAATTATCTTTTTAACTGCAAAGAACTGCAGCTTAATTTTCAGGAGTAGGACGGGACTAAAAATAAGAGTTGCTCAGTCACAACTTGAACAAAACAAGTGGTGATAGAAGTGAATGGTTCTCTGATTTGAACTTAGAAGTAGTACCCCCTTATTTGCTTGAGCTTTCTTTTTTACTTCACCCCCACATGCATATGTCTTCCAGCTGCACACAAGAGA